GTACGCAAACATAATGACACGAAGGAAAAATATTACATTAAACCGAACTTACTTTCAGCGCCTCCTTGTGGTGAACAAATTTTGTTGGAGCCAGCTGACCTCCGTCGACGTTTGGAACTGGGTGAACCGATCGGTGAGGATGAAAGATTGCCATTCGATTCGGGGTCTTGATTACTCGTTGGAGATTTGAGAATCGAAGTTTTGATTTTAAGTCGAGCTATCGGAGCTTGAGCAGTTCGGGGATTGGAAGTATTTGTGCACGCATGATTGTTCAACATCACCGCGCAATAATCATCACTTTTGACCATTGGATCTGGCTGCCTTACCGAAGGTGAATGAATCAGGTTGAGTGGAAACAGACCCAACTCATCAATGGCTTGAGCGATTTTCTTCTCAACACGATAAGATGAGCTCACGTGCATTTGTTTAGCCAGATTCTTAAGCGGTTGACTAGCTCTTACCGTAACTTGTGTGCGAATGTTTGAAGGAAGTAGCAAGGGACTAGTTTGATCCGCACCATACCAGCCATCAGAAACATTTGGATACGATGTAGTCTCATCGTCCTCGGTCATATTTGTGTCCGAATCGTCCTGTGTAGAACTACGCCAATCATTGCTTTCAGGTCGATTTTTCTCCTGATCTTCAGCAATGTCAGTTGTCTGCTGCGTAGAACCTGGATACAATGTGATATAAAAACATTCAACGAAGAAAGATCTGCAACCGGCAGTGCATTGAGGTTATCTAGATTGGTGATGAAACGTTTGAGAAAAATTGCCAAGCTCAGCGAACATCAATTGATTCTACCCGAACTAAGGAAACAAAAATCAACTTCATTGGCAAAACTGTAATGTATATACGTATATATAGTAGATTTTTGTGTGCATATACTTATACGAAAATCTACCATTATCAACTAAGCATCTGGAGAAGTCTACTAATCCCGCTTAGGGCGCCGAATCATAAGGGAAGACCTACCGAGAATGGGTAACAACTAACCGTATTGCTACTTACAAAAAGTAAAGTAGTGAGACCTGCAATGTGACCGCTACTCGGTAAACTTCAGTGGACGAAAGGAATGTTTTGATAATAAAAATATGAAACAACACCACCTATGATTAGCGTATTTTTCTTATTTCATATATCAAGATCGTAGCGACGATTTTGTTTTCAACTGTATAAACAAGTCCCAGGACACCTGAAATGGCGAGACAAATGTAGTTTCTAACGAGGACAACAGTGTGGAATGACCGGATAGAATGTAAACACCTGTAAGACGAGAGAGAAGTCAATAGACTGTATAGTATAAGCGAAATGTGGAAGACGAAAAGTAGATGAAGCCGTGCGATGGACGGACTATAATCCACTCAAGCAGACAATGAATATGAGTTTATGAGAAGACCACAGAGAGAAAGGAATTCGGATGAAATTGAATGTATTAACCAACAGCTATCGCTCTATCATGATTTGCTCCTCAATCGCGGCCCACATAGTGTGCACATTTGGAGCGACGACTCAGCGCAATCTGTGCATAGTTTCCTTTTGGTGTACGTATTCTATCAATCAAGAAAAGGTCAGCAAACGTAATCTGATTGTGTCGCAATTTAGTGTATCCCAACTTCACGTATGACCGCAACTGTTTTGCCGATAGCGAGAAACAAAAATTTCGAAACCTGACTGCAAGTAGCGAAATTAAGTGCGTAACGAGATCCACGAATAACAGTATTTCTGGACGTCACAAAGATAAGGGCCTGTTCCAGAAGCAAGTATCAGAAAGTCGCCTGGTAATAGACACATGACTCTGTATGACGAATTTAACTTCCGTAGGTTGGAATGTATGTATGATAAAACAAACCGAATAACCCAAACTAATCCAGCTAAACGAATTCATTTTCGGCAGGTGGGAATCTTCGGCTCTAGTTGAACAGAGCACTACTATTGAGTTGTCTATTAGGGATTAGACCACTATCTGGTGGTACGTAAATTGAGATGAGAGGTGAGCTCAATTTGATTTATTGTATTGAAGCTAAATAATGGAATGGGGCGATCGGATGATAAGGCGATTAAATACGTTACCTAGATAAATGACATTGTTACTCTGGCACAAATCGAATTTATATTGCCTATGGAGCGGTGGTGTTATAATTCCACAAGACTACCGGGAAGAGATCTAGTTATTCAGTGAATAGCAAGGGATAGGTGTAAACAAGACTACACACAACAAAACACCTAATTTGCAACAATTGATTAGTATTTCTGTGACCTATTCATCGGTGGTCGTCAGCCTGACAGTTTGTCTGTTTTGTAGTTGTAATAGTAAATCCATTCGCAGACGCAATGGGAATATAATACCCTTTTCGTGATGCTCGCAAACTACTCACAAATGTGAATAGTACGTACCTCAAGAAGCAGAACAGTGCGCCGAACCCGTCAATTCGAGGACGGTACCACGATACGCCACAAGCAAGCTTGCGATACTAATGACAAGTCGAAACCGGTTTGGACGACTGTAGAACAATTAAGGTTGTCCAATCAACCAATAGCAGAGCCAATATTGTAATCTACGGGGCGCCTCGTCGTGCATTTCTGGTTTGTTCGAGTTGCGCTTATTATACAGATGTTATATCATATTCACACCAAACATCTTGGCAGTTTGTCATCGGCTGCGATCTGTCTTCCACTTTCCTTATTAGGGGCTAAGAAAGAAACGCTCGCTTTGATCATAGGCTTAGGTCGAACATACATATCGAGAAGTAAAGAAAACACAGTAGGGACAGTGTTTGAACGCAAGTGCTAACGTAGCCCGTTGCTGACAGCGTACTTTACCTCATTTTTGAAGCGAAGAAACGTCACAATATGGTTCGCTTCAGTCTTCACAGTATAACAATAACGAAAATAGAGTCCATGTACGACTGATTTTAAGGTGCAGATGAAATCGAAACCATACCATAAATCAGGAGCAAAATATACGAGAGACCACTTGGTGTGACACTTACGGTTCATATTGAGACGTTCAATGCTTTCCGTAAACGCGAACATGATGTTTTCTTGATAGCAAGAGTTGAGCAACGATTGAGACAACTTGCCCAGATTGGAAGACTCGGGGCAGGGTGTTCTGCAAGTGAGATGGGTACAATTGTTTTTTCGAGACGCTGATTAGTGACCGTGTCGGGCTTCAAACTGCTACAGATTCAATTTATTGTAGTATGTTGAACAACAAAAAGAGAAGAAACACAAGAGTAAGCCGTATCCAAGGAACTGAACAGTATAAATGCAAAATCCGAGGGCATTGTTATGTATTACGTAAAGCTAAAACTTAGATGCCATGGTTTTCGATTTTTCCATTTGAAAAACTGGAATCGAATACGTCAATTTTTTACGGGTAACGTGAAGTTTGTTGAATAGCATTGGACGTCAGCACCCTGGGTTCACTTCAGTAAGGTTCTTACAACCATTAACCATGCACCTTCGCGCGCCGGTTTTGGTTGCTGTCTTCTGGTTGCCCACTTGGATAAAACAGCAGAAAGCAGCAGGATGATGGTAGTATAAGAGGATCGAAAAAATCAACAGTCACGTTTACTCAATGGATATTATCAGCACAGAACTAGAGGGGTGATTGATTTAATGCAGTATTGGATTTACAGGGATCACATCTCCCCCATTTGAGATGATTAAGGTGACGGCATTTACAGTGCTTCAAAACAGATCCTGGTTTGTAATCTTTTGAACATTTCGGTTGCTATTCTCTGCAGACGTTCGAGGGCGCTTTTGCCAGATTCCGAACAACGATGGTGTACTGGCTGTACGTTCGAACGACTGCTGATAGCAAGCAGGGAAATAGGTCTGTTTCAAACGATCCAGAAAAACTTTTGAGCGATCCAACTTGTTTTAAAGCCATTGATGACCTTTTAACACGACTTGTGGAACATTTTAAGTCCCGAACAATAACTTTCAAACCTTATTCATTCGTATCACGTGGTAGTGGTTGATTTCCAAGTATGGTAAGCGAAAATTAAGGAAATCATACAACCTTTCCCTTCGCAACTTTGAACACGATATTATTATTGATCGACTATCGGTGAGCTGCACTGACTGTTTCATGCAGTGTAATACAACTTCCAGGACGTATTATTGTTATTATTGTTCTCCACATTTCGGTACCGCCAGCGAAAAGTAAAGCACGTGCACCAGGAATATCTGGTAGACGGTCCATAATTCTTTTGTTAGTATGGCAGCCAAATGCAGAACCCCATGGACTGCGTCAATCAGTTCTGACAGTGAACCATTAGAACTACGCCATATTATTTTCTAACAGTTCGGTATGGTAGAGCGGATTGCACCCTAACAAGAACGTATGATCCCATAAAATGGAAGATTAATGTCGCTTAGGCAGTAGACAGTTTTCCTGCAACTCGGTTTACTGGAACACTCAAGTGGTACATCCATCCATATTGTTACGGAACAGGTCAGATCAGTCCACCCAACCATTAAACCTGCGCAAACCACGGTATTTCTTGCAGCCTTTTGGCTACCAATTTGAATGAAGGATCGGGGTAAATAAATAAGACTGGAAACAGTAAGGAAGAAAGAGAACACAGATAAAGCAACTTTGCAAAGAACTTATGTGGACGCAGTGTTTACGACACTCCGATATACCACTCAGGCACTCCAACTATCGGTAAGTGGGCCGTAAGGCTCCTAGCCCGGAAGTCTACTGCACTCTGTGATTGGGAGCCCTGGTTAGGGTCTTCGTAACCACATGTCAAGTCTTATTTTCACCGTCTTCCTTAGCAAGTATCGCACATCGAGGAAGCAAAACTGGTGAAGTGAACAACATATAGCTGCGTAGTACTACTCACTTTTGAGAGTATTTTATACTCGCCTAGAAGCGGCCTTTGAATGTTAACGGCACCTGCGAGTGGATCAAAGGATTCACTTTTGCAACTACAGAAGAGGCAAACAGACTGTCGGGTTGGCGGACAGCGATGAAGAGACGATCACGAAACTACTAACCAAATGCTGTAGATGTTTCGATTTATGATCTCTTATTTATCCCTATCCGATGCCCTTTTTCAAATAAATAACCTTCCTCGTCCCGGCAGTTAAGTGGATTTTTAAAAATGACTCAGACAACGAAATTTCAGTGAGTCAACCATTTGCTTCAGTGCACCAATGCAATGACCGAAAACTGTGTGCCGAAACTCAGAATTGCTTATTCGGTTGAAACGCCAAATTCGTGCAATGCGGCATGAACAGCGGGTTCCAGAACAGATGGCCCGTTTCTATCTTATTCTCGTGGTGGCCGTATATTCTCTGCACTATACATTCGATTTTTCACCGACAACTGAGAATGGTGCGGAGGCACAAGACGTTATTCGAGTTGGCAAACCCGAACATAGTTCTGTTTATGCATGTTGACATCTGTGGGTCGTCCGTCAGGTGGAATATTGCTTCTCAAAGAGCAAAAGTGATCCACTTCCGTTATGACTTCTCCTTTTAAAGTAGACGTGAAAGCTGGGTCTATACAACCCGATAACAGCATTTTGCACTTTGAAAGTGTAAAATGCATGCCGAATACAATAGGTACACTAACCGTCCAGAAAAGCTGGCAGTTTACTCGGATCCCCAATCGGTAGTACAGTTATCTACGTACTCAACATAAGATGGTCTACCAGCTCCGAGAACATCAACACTGCAGTCCTCATACGAGAACAGGGCAAATAAAAACGTCGTCGTGTAAAAGTCGAACATAAACTAAAAAAGAGATCGACACAGACGAACACTGCTTTCTGTGGTGAACTCGGATGAAAAATAGCCGTAAGGTCGAACGCGTCTTTGGCTTCTCGTACACAGATATCACAACAGAGATAAACTTTTAGAGCAACTCTTCAAACGAGAGGCAATGCTCAAGTACTGTGTGGTCGGCTGAAACTAAAGACACCTTAAGATCAACAAGGTTGGAAATGGTGAACAAAAATATCTGTTCAAAAATTCGGTGAACGATGAAAACATAATCCAATCTGTCTCGACTAGGACTGAATTCATCTTGATTTCCACACACGCGGTAGACAATCGAGAGAGTATGCCCTTAGCCAGAGGCTTTGAGGTGATGTTGACGAAGCCGATTTCTGTATGGTTCTCACGAGAAGATTTATCTCCCTTCTTGCGTATCGGTGAGACAACCGATTCACATCATTCTTCTGTAAGTATTTTGCTTCCTCATACTGAACCCAAGAGTTAAGTCCACCAAAAGACCAAAGTGAAATAGGATTCTTTAACGCGGATGGAGAAAACCAATGTAGTTCAAACGTCTCATATCTTTTGATTTAACTTATCGATCGACCGATCTTCATTTTGAGGGAGGGTACCGACTGGGAAAAGCTGCCCACATTAGATAAAAGTTATCAAATCTAGTGACGACGGTCAACGGAACTGTATCATGAAATATTATGCCAAACGGTGTTGCTGAATGTGTTAGTATACCGTCGCACGCCGAATTTCAGCCGACGTGTATTACTGCTTAGACAGAAAAGATTGCGAAGGCTACCAATAACGGTAGCATTGTTCATCTGCATAAATTATGCGAATCGTTTTAGTGAGTTCGCGTCTCAGGGAGTTGTGCATTGTCATAGTTTCTAGCCAGAGGAATGGTTTTGTGGTCGACCAGCAGAGCAGCAGAGGTCAGTTGTGCTTTGGTAATGTGCCGGAGTTTACTTTTTTATTTTGGCAGAAGTATGAATTGCTTCTTCACTCAGTTTCTAATATTCACTGTGACCATGATCAAGAGATGAGGGAGCTCTGCTTCGCGTGGCGAACTGAAACTAACGCTTCGACGGCATCCCTTTTCAGCGGCTGCGCTGATTCTTTATTATACACTTTAGTGTGGTGAACAGCAGACGGGGTAAATCCCATAGTCACAAAGAACTACTGTTCAGTGATGGAAACCGGTAACCTTAGCCCCGGGACTTGGAGTGGTGAACCACATGAGGCCCCAATATGTTAGGCGCGGTACTGAACCGAACGAAAGCAAAGCTGCCTACCACCTGGGGTAGGTGAAGACCTGCTGGTAACAATACAGGGTTCATATCCAAGGCTGCTGATCAACGAGT